GTTAGTATGTAAACAAAGCATTTTATGTGCGCAGACTCTTCTTAGTTCCGACCGTGTGACGTGTGAGGCTACACTTCACACACACACACACACACACACACACACACACACACACACACACACACACACACACACACACACACACACACACACACACACACACAGCATGCTGACAAGAGGAAGGAGAGGCAGATATGAAAAAGCGGGGGGAGGGGGGAAATAGCAGGAGAAAAAACTGCAGTGAATTGAGAGAGGTGACGATAAGACGGGGAGAAACAGAAATATGGGTTAGGAAGAAGATGAAAGAAATCAAATCTGACAAGTGAAGGTACTCGTGGAGACAGAAGGAGCAGGATGACTGGATCGGGAGAAAGCAGCAGAAAAACAAGGGCACAGGAGGAAACAAGGGGATTAGGCTAAATACTAAAGGAGTGAGTGAGGGTAAGAGGTGTATGCACACAAGTGTGTGTGTGTGTGTGTGTGTGTATATATTAACGCATATTCAACCAGTTTTTTCTCCTTCATCCAGAACTAAGTACCGCTGAGTCTGCTCCAGTTAGCACCTGAACAGGGGGAGGTGAAATCTAACGTGATGCCTTGTTATCTGGCGCTTCGCCCCTATACTGCTACACAGAGGAAGGCGGTGGATGTTTTGTAAGGCCGCCACAGTAATCCACAAATACAGAGTCTGTAATCAGGACACAGATCACAGCGGAATGCAGTGGCACGTCAGTAAGCAGGCAGCAAAGGTTTCGGCAAACGCGCATGCAACTCACTTCATGGAAGGTAATGAAAAGACAACTTAAGCAACTGTGAATCATTAAAAACTTCAGTATTCTTAGACCCGGTAATTTAAGGTAAAATAGACGGATTCAGAGACGGTTCCTGAGGCTAGATGTTAAGCTGTGTTGTGTTTATTAGCTCTTGTGGATTTTTCGAACACGTACAGATGCTCAGTTTAAATAAAACTTGTAGAAAACACAATAAAACAGCCAACTAATCAATAAAAAGATGTTTGGCAGTAGAGGGGTGAAAAACCGACTCATGACTTCAGTATCTAAAAATCCTACAGCCCAGCGAAGAATAAAGTAAGACTAAGTCGCCCCTGGCTTAGTTTAACAGCTGGTGGCAGACTGAGAGACAAGCTGGCAGTCCTGGGGCAGTGGGACACCAGCACAGCCTGGCAGGGGGTGGCAAGGTTAGGAGAAGCTATCCAATCACATCCGTGCTCTCAGTACTCTCAGGGAGGAGAGGAAAGGAGGTACGGGGGGGGGGGGGGGGGGTGTGGATGACTGGTGGCAACAGCCTGAAAACCTGTTAAACACAATTGAGCACAGACTCTAATCCACACAAAGTTTGAGGTAAATCTAAGAAGATGGGAGCATTTTAGTTCAAATACGTGGAGCCATTTTGAATTCCCCCTTGGTTTTTCTCATCATAACATTGATCTGAATGAGGCTCCGATGACTCATTTTAAAGTTAGCACAAAACCCTGACTGTAACCCACAGAAGCCAGCATGATCGGCTTGATGTTTTTACTTGAACCAGTTTGGGAGTTGCCACACAAATAATACTTGCAAAACTTGTACTATGCAAATACAAATAAGGAACCGGCTTCACCCGTGGATGTTATCACACCTCGCTTTGCTTTACTTTTATGAGACGACTATTTAGGTTATCAAAAAAGTAAAATAGCAACCCCAACCTGGTTCGTGTCCCTGGAGGTGCCCACCTATAAAGTCTACAGCTCAGCAAAGCACTAGCATTGTCGTCAAACCTGAACAAAGAGGAACGGAGATACAAAAGAAAGCACAGACGCATGTGCACATTGACACAAAGGCTGTGATTTAAGGAGGACCACAGTACATAAGAATCCCACCAGGGAGGGATGAGGATTAAGATAAGGAAATGTAGGGTAATGAGGAAAAAAAGAGCTGAAATGAGAGCAGTATAGCATACACAGAGGCAGAATGGATCCTTTGAAATCATTTCAAAACACTTAAATGACTGAAAACAACAGCCTGATTGGACTCCATTAAGCGTCTGTACTCCTTGTTATGTAAAGTGAAACAGATTCTTACCTGTTGTTTCAATGAAACGGATGCACTTCTCAATGAAGACTGGGATCGGCCTCTCAGGAGAGACCACGGTGGCCAGTGGGATACCAAAGTAGTTGCTCTCGATGGGTTTGGAGATGGAATGCCTGGGTTTGGGTCGTGGTTTCTGCAAAGATATGATCGAGAGGAAAGAGAAGATTGGTAGGAGCACTCGGAGACTAAATCTCACATTATTTGAGCTGCTGACATAGGCACACATTTCCAAAACGACACTAAGCCTAGAGGAATTGTTCTTGAAATGAGTCGATATAGATGGAAAGGACCGTATTTAATAACTATTTATGTTAGTATCTGCTTGAGCAAAAAGACGAAGACACATGGACACACACAATCTCACACATTCCTTAGTATCTTAAACTGATAAGTAATCAAACATTCCTGACTTGAACCCTGTTCTGTGCATAAATGAGATACACATCAGTTCCTCCATCACTCTTATCTCTTCATCGTAATCCTCCTTCCTTCAGAGTTCCGTGCTTCTCTTTCTGCATTGCAGCTCTCAGATAATCAAACACTCTTATTCATTGTTTAATTACTTTGTAACTCCTGTTATTCTCCTGTTAAGACTCAGACCGCTAATGCACTCCTGCAACATTCTCTGCCTGCCTCCGTAAGGCTGAGGCATCAGCAGTAATTGTACTGCACTTTAATGGTGTTCAGCGGGAATGTTTTGAAGGCCCCTGAGGCCTGGATCTCTAGTAAGTCTGTCAGCCCCCCCGAGGCTGTGCTCTGGCAGGCAGGGTGGTGAGGCAGGGATGCACGGTTGGCTGGGCACACAGAGAGTGGGAGCAGTGCAGGCCTGACAGACACAGACACAGGAAAGGAGCAGAGGAGTGCTCATTAGAGAGAAGGAGCACGGCGTGCCCTCTGCTCCAGATACTGGCCTCACTGCACTCCAGCAAACATTTTCGATAGCACATATATACACACACTCACTCACAGCGGTATTCAAGGAAACAAACAGGGAAACACTAATTAATACTGAGCAGATTAACAGAGACTCACCTGGACTTTTTATTTTTTTTGTTTTGTTCGAACATTTAGTGAATTTATTCTGTTAGTGTGCGTTACCTTTCAGCTGGCTTTCGCCTAAACGAGCCTGACCAAGCAAATATTATTAGCCGATACATGGTTATTATAGATAAAACATTACCAGTTACTATGTTTGGAGATACATATAAGAGATGGAAGAGTAAATTAAAGCAATACATGTTGTATTGGTGGCATTCCAATGTATGTACATTTTCACAACTTAAAATGTATTATAATTTTATTACATTTATAGTATTATTAATGCGTTATTTTAAGTAAAAATTCTAAATAACTTATATTTTAATTATATATATATATATTTCAGTTATATTTACTGTTTTGGTCAGCTGTCATTGTATTGTACAGTATTGACATCAGTATTGGCCTCAAAGATCCAGTATCATCCATGATTGATGAGTGTTTAATGATGAACTGTAGAAAAAGGGGGCAGAGTCGCTACTTCACCCGTCAACTGGGTGCCAAGTGTCAGGAAAAACAAAATGTCAAATATAACTCGACAACGCCGACTGGCTTAAGAGTCTGCACTTCATTCAGCGAGGCCCCTGAGCTGCTGATGAAGGCTCTGCGCTGAAACACATCTAGGGTAAATAACGGCTGACTTTCCCAGCAAATCAACAAATGTTATCCAGTATATCTTTCTATAAGACCCAACATGAGCAAACTCCTAACTGGAATTCCTTCACTTATCACTCCCGGCTAACTCCCCTTTGGCCCTGCCCGATCCCCTCTTTGACGCTCCCTTTCTCAACGTACAGACATCCCTTATACTTGTGGTTATTAGCTTAACATCTGCGCATACATAAATGTGCAGTGTGTATCCACACGTGCACAAAACACTCACATGAGACTTTAATTGGATTACAGGGGTAGTAATAATAGATGTGACACTACAAGACAACAGCCTCTGTGGTGGTAGAGAGCTGTGCTGTCATGACTCACTGCAAGCTTGGTTTGTAGCTCCATGTAGCAGCTCATAATTTATTTGTGTCCTATCACACTGACTGTGTTGTATATATATGTGCCCTATCTCAGTTTAGCAGACTGTCTCTATACGCCCCCCCCCTTCTCCTCTCTTCCACCCACTTTTCTCTCTCACTGTCTTATCCCCCTGCAGTTCTGCCTTCTGGACACTCCTTTTAGTTGCTGACTGAGACAGGATATGTTGCCAGCGCTGAGACCTCTACCGCGAAACACAAACAAAACACATCCTTAATAATAACATACAGACACCATGGTGAGCGTTTACATACACTGTAGGCTGCTGAAACACAAAGCCGCAATCAAAAAGAAACAGTTCTATCATAACTCTTATTTCTCCCCGGCTCCATTTCATTTTCTTTCCGTCGTCGTGTTTTCTGTTTTTCTTTTGATTGTCTCCCTCCCTCTTATTTTTTTGTTTGAGGACACTAGACTGGAACTAGGTGACTGAGGAATTTAAAGCATTCCTCTTGCTGGCTGAGGAGGTTTGAAAAAAAGCTGCAGGAGAGAGAGAGGGAGGAAATGTTTCCGTCCTCTCGCTGAGGGAGGGCGGGCGGGACAGAGACACAGTTGGTCATTGCCCGAGGTGAAGGGGGTATTAAAACAGACTCTAAATCTACTTTCAATTATTTGTTCCTACCCGTCATGACTCGGGAGTGGTAGACGGGCTCCCTAAGGCTCTGACTAGGAAAGTGTTTACAGTGCATGAACCCAAACCTTCACCCTAAAACCAACTGTCTTGTTTAACCCTTGCAAGCAACTATAACAGGAACGGCTGTTTCTATACCAACCTTGAGTTACTGCTACAACACGTCTCCCCGAGATGACCAAATAACTCAAGAACATGCCAGCTATCCTTAAGGGATTTTAGACTACAGCATATTGAAAATTGACTCTTATCTTTGAGACAGCTGCTTAGAAAATCGGCGATGGAACTTGATACAACCACAATTAAGCCATTATGGCCTTTAACACGGATATCCAGATTCCAGACCTGCTGTAGGGCAAAATTTAGAGGCACTAATTACAAGAAACTGATCTAAATTCAGCTGGCTTCAATTTTCTTGTGGATTTGTTTTGAAACGAGCCTAATAATGTGTCATGTGATACTTTATTGATCCCCTTGCCCCCAGGAGGTCAGAGCACAGGGTCAGGTAAAAGTCAGCGCTAAAGGAGCTTGTTTACCTGCTAACAAGAGGGCTTGAACCGGGCTGTCCAATTCATCGGTAGCCTGTCCTTGCACACTTATTTCAGAAGGACAAATGGCCCAGAGCACACTATATGCCAAGTCAGTTAGTGCATAAAGGAAATAACGTGGTTTCGGCAGTAAGGAGCTATGTGAGAAGACGGCCTTCATGCAGGTACTTGGACATCACAGCTGAGTGTGTGTGATAACATTAATCATCCTGCCTCCTGTTCCACCCAACTGACAGCCATGGTAATTATCACAGACGCACAACATACAAAGCTGTAACTCTTATTCAGCTGACACTTCTGTAACACGCCATGTGTGTGAGTGAACAGCATTCCAGGCTGATAAGCCTAACAGAGTAAGGTCAAAACTATCGTCACACGTGTGGGAGACAAGCATAGAAAGAAACAGAACAGGGGTAGACAGAGACTGACGATAGAGAGATATGAGGACCACATAATGCGGGGGGAGAGACAGAGTAGAAAGTATGAATCAGCAAGAAGAGAAGAAAACAGTGTTAATATGAGAGAATGAAAGGAAGGACGAAAAGAAAGCCAAGCTGACAGGGAAGAATTTTGGCGTCTAAAGAACAAGCTGACCAGCCTTGGCACATACTTCCCTGCAGTACCACAACACTGAACAGTAAACAACACTGCCTTAACCTGACGACACTGATGTCAATCACTAGATCATTAACACCAAACACGCTGCACTGTTGGCAACCGAGTTGTAAACAATGCGTAGTCGTACTACTAGCGAGGCTTGAAGCAAGGTGACTGCACAATTTGGTACTGTAAATTATAATTAAGGAGTGAAGGACTACATGGCTGCGATTCTCACACATTTAGTACTTTTGTTTGCTGAACAGCAGGGGTGTTTACAGCTAATTTGCTGAGGGTATAACATTAGTTTTTATTTCTCTTCATGTATCGCTACAGTAATAATTGTAAGATGGATGTTGATGCTTTCAAAATCTTGCTAAAATAAATATCAAACATCATTAAGTCAGCTCTCGTATAATTGGAAACTTGATGCTAACCAAGCAGACATGCACACAAGCACAAACAGATAAAACCACACAGTGTGCTACTCTGATTCTGTCCCTATTCATTAAGAGTTTCTGCCTTCTAGTATGAAAGTTTAGCGACTGGAGCTTGTCTCTTTTTCCTCTGATTATTTGGCTAGTTTAAAGAGCTCTCACACAGTCGTCAGGGTCAAAAATAGCAGACATGCTTTCAGGCAAACTCCTACGGTATGGCTTGTTTTCACTGATGTAATAACAGAGAGTAGAAAGAGTATACTGAAATCATTCCTCCACTTTAGTAATTAACACAGTTATCCACCAAAGCAAACAGGTGTTGAATCTCAACCAACTAATTGTACTAAGGATTATGGACAATTAATCCATTCTTTCCTTAAACCAATACATGTGTATTTATACACTGCAGACAAATTTGTATTGGCGAGCATCCAACATCCAGTCAGTCATAAGTTACAATTTATGTCTTTGGGAATAGTTAAATCAACCAATTAAAATGAAATGTTGAAAATGAAATTTAAGATTTAACAGTATTTTAGTAACAGATTTGAGACTCAAACATCAATCATATCTCACAGAAACAGATGGATGCACAAACACTAACCTTCGTATTTCTGCGCAGGCTCTTAAGAATATTTCTTCTTTTGGGGTCCTCACTCTCCTCGATGGAGTTGTCTTTTTGGGCTCCTCCTTCATCCTGGTTAACCTTGGGTGGACCCCCCATCTCATCATCACTGCCTATGGAGAAGCTCGTCCTAAAGCTGCTGAACTTGCCAAGCCGTTTGGATCTGTCTCTGTAAAGCATGGGCTTTACCCCAATGGCGGACAACTTTCTCCTTCGCTCCAGCGAACTGCTATCGGCCTCACTGTCTGACCCATTCCCCCCAGCACTCCCGTTGGAGTGACCTTTGTTGGCATTGCGGATAGTGATAATCTTGCCTTGTGTGCTGTCATGCGGAACGGAGTAAATATTCTCCTCTTCTGTGGGTCGAGGTTTGCTCACAGCATCCATGGGCTCTGCGTAATCTGAGGGGTCATAGCCACCATCGCTACCTGGAGCCCAAGTGACAGCTTGGGGCAAAGAGCGGCGGTTGGTGCCACCCTGCTGGTCCATGTAGGGGCCGAGGTTCACCTTACGGACAGGCTTGGGCTTCACTTGTGGAGGAACCTTGTTGTTCAGCTTGCTCTCAAAAGTGCTAAGCTCAGAAATAACAGAGAAGGTGTCACTTGAATCCAGATCTGGCAGCTTGAAGCTTCCCAAGTGGGAACTGAGGCTGCCATCCTCCCTGAGGGTAGGGTAAGGTGGTGATGGATCAATATCGTCCTCTGAGTCCATAAGAATACTAACTGGACTAGGAGAGCCACAGCGAGGGCTGATGCTCTCATTGGTACATGCCTCAGCCACATTATCATACATGTGTGTGGCCTCAACAATAGTGCACTTCTCTACTGCCTCTTTGAGAAAGGATTGGAAAAGGTCTATCTTATGAAGCCCCCCTACTACCCCACCATGTCCACATATCACTGTGTTGAACCTGGCCTCTATTTCATGGGCTAGTTCCTCTCCTTGACTGACCTGCTCCTTAGCTGACTCCGAGTCTGACAGCTCCATCTGGCTCTCCCCAACTGCCAGCAACTGGACTGGGATGATGTCTTGGACCTCACACAGGAAAGCACATAATGTCTCCATAGAGGCCTTGCGGCGAGCAGAGTAAACTGCAATGTAGCCGTGGACCAGCTTGGTCTTGCGGAGCGAGAATGAGGAATGAAAGGAGAGTAGCGACAGCTCAATATTCAGCCTCTGACCTCCTATACTAAGATCCAGCAAAACCGAGGTGCCAGTGCTGAGGTTAGCAGCAGGACGACAATGCTGGGGCAATAGGAAAGGAGCAAGCAGCTGGTCTATGTCGTACGTGTCTCCACACATCAGGCACATGACTATCCTCAGGTCTGCCTCTACCACTGGCTGGGACTGAGAGTCTCTGAAGGCAGAGGATGGAGGGGGTAAGGGAGGGGAGCTGGTCCCTATGCTTCTCCGTGATTCTAAGAGGCCCTTCAGCATCTGGTTGATCTGCCTCTCATTTACATTGCGACCGTAGCCCACGCCTGGAGAGGCGGGGTCTAAGTAGGCACACTGCAGCTTTCCAGCCACCTGCTGCCCTTGTTGGATAAGAGTCTGAGCCGTCTCCCCCCCAATATCTCCAATGGACCCCACTCCCCGCTTGGTGACCAGAAGGAGAGACAGCGGGGGTTGAGCTAAGCTGTTTTCCCTTTCCCTTCTGCTTATAGTTGACTCCCTAATCTTCTCTAAACTCTCGACAACATAAGAGAGGGATTCCTTTGAGTTGTACAAACACAGGCAACCATGAGGTGTAAAGGTTGGTGTGTGGAATGAATTGACTGGCAGACGTACGTTGCCCTCTATGGGACGAAGGGCTAACTCATACATCTTGCCATCTAACACGTACCGGTCGTCACTGGTGCACATGGCCCTTATCTCATTTGCCATCTCTCTGGCTAGCCCATCTTTACCGAGGATGACAAGATTTATCCTTTCAGCCCTCCCCAAATCCAGTCTTGAACTATCTGATGATGGGTAGCGGGTAGGGAATCTGTTGGCCAGTATCTGCTCTATCTTACTGTCCACACAGTGGGGATTGTTGGGACAGGTGTCCTTTGTAGGGTGGTAGACAAAGTGGATATGTTTTAATACCAGAGCATCCCTTTCTGCCTGCAGCTTCTGCAGGGCTTTAAACCTTTGCTCCTCACCCAACACCTCCTGAATGGCTCCCATTTTCTCTTTACTTGGCTTTGCATCCACTTCCAGCTCATAAAAGAGCTCAGAGTATTCAAGAAGTAGTTCCTGAAAGTCCTCTTTGGCTCGGTCAATAATTTCCTTCTGGTGTTTGTTGTAGATATCCAGATATTCAGCCTCATCCAGCCACTGGTAGAAGTCTTCATTCATGATGAAGCTTCGGGCCTCCTCCCAGGGTTTCCCTGGTGTGATGAAAGGAGAGACGCTTAGCTTCTCCTTGAACTCCCATCTCATCTCAGCCCGCTTGCGCTCATTCCTTAGCATCTCCAGGTGGGTCTCATAGATAGCTTCAGCTGCGGGAGTCTCCAGGAGGTCCTGGGGGATTCGATCATCCTCCATTTTATCAATGTGTGTCGTGGTCTCCCAAGGGGTGTCATCTAGGACTATAAACCATTGGATGAAATCTCTCTTTGTCTCCAGGACTTTCTGAACTCCAGACCAGCTGAGGTGGTCTATCACATCCAACTCTGGTAACAGTATAGACAGGGCCTGTGGTAGAGTACTAAGATAGGCCTTCCTACGTTTCTCTATGTGGTCTTGTTTAAGTCTATGCACATGCTGCTGGAAGAGCTTCTTGGCTTTAGCTGTCCCCTCAAGAAAAACGTAGTCCTTGTACTCAGGGGCAGACTGCATGCGACGACTGACTGTGAGCCATGCCTCATTGTGGTTCTTCACGATTCGGTTGACCAGCCACTCATAGCGGTCTTTAGCTGAGGCAATCTGTTGACTCTGCTGTTTCAGTGCCTCAAAGTAGGGAATGATTTTGGGCTTTCCCCTACCCTTGTCTAGTAGCTGAATCAGTGTAAGAAAGGCAAGTTCAACATTGACATTAGATCGTGCTGATGTTTCCACCACCTGTAGGTTCTTCTTGGCTAGGGCAAAGGTATGTGAGTCTTTAATATAGCGCTCAACTCCTTCATCACATTTGGTGAGGACCAGTACAACAGGTTTCTTCGTTTTGGCTAGCTGGTTGTACAGGTTGGTAACAAACTTCATCTGGTCCTCAAAGCTACGGTTCATACCCCTGCTAACATCCACACAGAGTAAGAAGCCATCCACCATAAGCTTGCCTTCGGGCATCTGTTTCTGCTCAAAGTCCTGCTCCAGCCCCAGCTGATCTGTGCAAAAGTACATCAGCTTCTCAGCCGAAGCCAGCTTGGTGGAAGCTGCCCTCTTGATGTAAGGCTGGAGCGCCGTGCTTCGGTGCGGCTGGAACGTCTGATCATCAATGAACTCTGTCTGCTCCACTACATTCATACGGCATTCGGGCCCCTCCTCCAAAATCCGCCCGGCCTCTCCCCAAAACAGGAAGTGGTCATTGTTCACCACACGGCCTCCAAAGTCACTGGTGCTGAGAACAGAGGTGTGGTCTAGGTAGAAGTCATCTGCACTTGGCCGGACAAAGCGGTTACACAGGCAAGACTTGCCCACACCACATTGGCCTTTCTCCTTCTCCGTGCCGGACAGCCCAATCACGACCAGGTTGTAGGTGGGTGTCCGCACATCTTGCTTTTTGGCCATCATCAATGCTGGCACAGGCTCATCCTGCCATGCTGGCCAGTAGCTCTAGGGAGAGGAAAGGACTGCCAGGGAAAAAGGGGTTTCCATGCAAGAGTATCTCACTGGGCTGGTGTCTGGCCCTGCATGATAGATAGAGAGAGAAAAATGGAGAGATATAATTAATCAACAGAAATACAGAAGAAAAACACATTCCAATGACAGGCTTTATTATTAGAGAGCTATTGTGTCACTCATCTAAATTCCTTCTGCGCGCCTATGTCCTGTTAATAATGTTTAATCTGTGATCCTATTTCTCTGCTGAATGTTTCCTGAAAAGATTGAGGTCAGTGGCAAAGCTGCACATTACTTAACCCAGCTGTAGCTCAGTTAAAGGCAATTTTTCATCATTTACCTCATTTCATTTTTATACTGCCAGGACTGCACTGCTAACAATGGTGCCTTCCACATTTCATTCCTATGTTCGTTGAGACTCTGTATGTGTTTTGGCGTATTATCCAACATCTAACACTATGGTTAGTCGTCTCACTGCCAGTAGCGGTAGAATAAAGTTGGGTGGAGTTTTCGATATTTCAGAAACAGACATATTAATAATGTGCACACAAACACATGCACCACCACCACACACTTGTGAAAATCGGCTCACTAAGGTCCCTGCACCCAAAATGAAAGACACACACAAGAAGATGAAAGCAGATAAGTGTTCCAGAGCTAAAGTTACTAATTGGCCAACTAGGGAAAGCCATCTGCATTTTAAAAGGCTGCACTGCCTGTTGGCTGACTCGTCTCCATCAAAAACATGTTTTCCTATGTTTCTCACTATACAGCACTCTGCAAGCCGATCAGACTTGCCTGATGCACCATCACTAATGTCTCAACATATTTACCTACAGTAGATGAAGGAAAATATGGAGCCAAATTCTGGACCGCATCAACAACAGACAATATCCAGAACTGATCTTTCATCACGCACAGCCATAAGAAAGCCTGTTTTAAAAGGTATGCTGATGAACCTCCCTTTTTTTTCTTCTTTTTTTTTTTTTTTTTTAACTGTAGAGCTGCTTGGTATCAATATTGTTTGCATTATTAGTTAGTCATGAAGACATAGGGTGGGGTTCGTGGCTGGGGGAGTGTTAACAATATGAAAATGTCCTAAAAATGTATTGCAATCTTCATGTTTTGAAGATTGCAAAAAAAAGAAAATTAAAAAAAAGAAATGAAAACAATAGCACATAGAAAGATACTTAAGAGGTTTAGTAGACTGGCCAATCACAGTTTAATTTATTCCATCAGTAGAAAAATAACAAGAGAAAGGACGAGGGGTGGGGAATGCTCTTCATGGAATGGCCCTCTTTGACAGCACAATTTGTAAAGGAATACAAATCTTTCAAGACAGCCAGCAAACAGACTTGCAGTACAAGACCACCCCTCCATGTCATAACTGAGGCGTTAATGTAGTAAAACAGACATTAAAACCACTATTAATCATGAATAGCTCTTTTGACAGAGAGCACAAAAGCAGACAAAGCCTTCACTGCTGCTGAATCGAGTTTGTCAGACAACACAGAACTGTGGATGCGCAAAGATGAACTTCAAAGCCCAACGCTGCTACACCAGAGGGCGAGACAATAAAAAGGAAATGGAAGGAGGAGTAAGAAACTCACTAAACTCACTACAGTGGAACACACTGTAGATAAAAAGCAGCCTCACACCTGCGGTGTACTGACTACTCCTGCATATACTGTACATTTTTTGGTTTTACTTGAAAGCTGAGCCACTAATTGAAGTTCAAAGCTGACAGTTATGGCCTTGAAAACCTGAGTTTCACTAAAGCAAATTCTGATCAGACTGTGAATTAACATTAAAGAAGCAAGACATCCCAAGTACCGCACCAGGTGTATAACCAAGTGCCAGCACAAAAAGGAATCAATATCAAAAAGAAAGTCTTGCGTTTTGATATTTGCAGAGGAAAAATGCATGAAAACTGGATCAAGGCCCCCACAGAGGGACTCAGTCTCTGTGTTAATAATAAGGGATGGTGCTGTGTGTTGTGCTTGGCCAGACTTGCTGGTCTGTATTTTAGGTAGGTATATGACCTTGGAATTATGGTTAATTCAAAATCGTGTCTTTCCAGACTCTCTTGTAAGTTAGTAAGTTTACTGCATACATGTGTATTTCCTCATCTATATCTATATATATATATATATATATCTATATCTATATATATATCTATATCTATATATATATCTATATCTATATAGATATATATATCTATATAGATATCTATATATATATATATCTATATATATATCTATATATATATATAT